GAAGCACACCGAGGAGCTGGGGGGGGGGGAACACAATAACATCACGTTCTGCCTCCAGACGCACATCGAGGAGCTGGGGGGGAAAAACACAATAACATCACGTTCTGCCTCCAGAAGCAGTTCCCAGCCCCCTCAGCCCTTCCTACTCAACACATGAAATATTGTTACAGGCAGACCGAGAAAGCAGGAAAAACTCGTCCTCATGGCTCCAAGTCATGCAATCCCTGGGAAGTTACTGCATGCTTGTGATCCTAGCAGTGCATAAACTGCAAGGGCAAGCAGAGATGAAACAGAGCAATGTGATGTCATTTCCTCCCAGTTTGGGAGGGTGTTGTGTCAACTCTGCCATGTAGAGCCTACGCAGCAAGTCTTTGCAAGCAGTGGGGGCAGGGAGTTCGTTACATCTCCTTCTCTCCTCCAGTCAAAGTGGTGGACTGGACCAGGCCTCAGGAGACCTGGGTTCAAATCCTCACTTGGATTGCCAAGTGACCATCCCAAGACGTACCCACTCCTTCACTCAATCTAGATCACAGAATTGCAATTGGAAAGGCAAAACAAAGCAAAACAAAAAAGAGAGGAGAGAAGAACCGTATCTTCCACTGCCTCAAACATCTTAGAAAAGCAGAACAGAAATAATTGATAACCAGTCCTCTTCAGAGCCCCAGAGAAAAGAGAAGGAAAGATGCCCATGATAGAAAAGTCTTTTGAGAAGATAGCAACATTATCAGAAGGACACCATAACAATCATCATAATCCCGAAGCAATTTTCACCCTTTTAAAACCTTTGCATCAGATTTATGGCCAACTGTTTCAAAAACATCAAAGCTGATGTTCAACCACCTCTGCAATTCAATGGGTCAAGGCTATCTTGCTAACATGACCGTATTAATTAACTTGACTCCATAAAAATTCTTGCCATGTTCGAGACTGGGGCTCGGCTGCCCCCTTGAGGTTGATCCCACATAATAGTTTTTTTTTTTTTTAAAAAGGTGGCAGATCGCGGAGGAAAGAGAGGCCCATCTAATTTACGCACACATACTCTGTTCTTCTGTTAACAGAAATTATGCAACAGCACACTGCTTACATTCTTGGCTTCCTTTACGTCAGGAAGTTCCAAGCCCCATGTTCTGGGGGTGTTTATTTCGGTTATGAAAGAGAAAAGGTGAGGCTGGTACATAAAGAACACTGGAAGCAGATGAAGTACATAAAGCGTGACAGTGGAGAAAAGACGAGAGCGCTGGATCCGGACCATACAGCCCTTCCTAAACTCTGACTTCAAAGCTTCAGCCCTGGCATGTGGGCAATATCCTTCTCGGATGCCCATTTAAAGACGCACAACTGCTACTGCATGATGCACTAGAGATCCCATATGCGGCAGCTTCCCAGAAATTCCTACACATAGAGAAATGCCAACATGACTTGTATCAGCAGAACAATGTATTTTCTATAATTCTGCTGTTGCCATGACGAGAGAAGGGTAGCTCATTCAGAATTCTGAGACTCTCTCTTTCCTTCTGGGGTGGGCAGAACATGTAACAAGCCTATGCTTCATCACTGCTTCAAGCTAACTGGTTAAGTAGGCGCTGCTCAGAGGAACAGGATTTTCAGAGGTCGGGGCTACAAAACCTCTTCAGAAATAATTTCCCAGAGCAAGATGGGATATGGGTAAGTTTAGGATTCCATGCTCCCTTTGTAGAACAATCATCTAAAATAAACCCACTACAGGCAAAATCCTCAGTTTGGTACTATTTCATTTCTTGGTAAAGGAGACAGGAAAACTCAGCACACCAATTTTATCTTCTATGAGAAGAGATTGCCACTGTTGCTGGTACATTCACATTTAGAGCTCTCTGAAGTTCAGAAGCTTGCAAAAATCACAAAGCAACGACTGCAAAAAAGCCATTAAAACTGGCATGGGGAAATGTGTGGCTATTCCAATGTTTTGGAATACTAACCCTTTTAACTGCGGGTCCTGCTAACCATTTGGGCCCCTGGAAATCAAAAACATCTTAAAGAGGTCCATCTTTCTTAGTTCTACAATAAAGAGACCACCTTTAGTTGCAAAGAGCTGCTGGTCCAGAAGAACAAGTTTTCAGCTTGGGCAAGGAGCTAGCGCCGATACCTTGGACGAACCCTTGAGAGGTTCCCTCTTTAGAGCCTAGCTGCAAGTGAGACTACCAGTCCCACAAGCCCTTGCAACTCCCATGGAGCCTCGCCACCTCTAGCAGCCACTGGGCCAGTTTCCTTTTGCTTCAAACACTAATAATGGTAACAGAGGTCCAGTTACTCTGTGAATGTCTGTTTTTGGTCACCTGGGAGAATTTTCATTGAATTCCGGGAACTGAAGTCCAAAAAAATAAAATAAAAAATCCCATCCCTAGTGATTCAAGCAGAACTGAAATCCAATTGGGGGAGGACACAGCACCTATCACTATAGTAAAAAAAAACCTTCCCCAACTTGGTACCCTCCAGTTGTTTCCTATTACTACTTCTGAGCAACACCGAATACGATCAGGGAACTGCAGACCAAAATGCTCATAAGGCACCTGCAAGGGAAATACTCTGAATTGGTGCACAGCCCCCCCCCCAATGTTCTGCATATTAGTCTTTTTTTCCTCTCAACAGAATTTAGAAAAACTTTGTGTGTTAAAAAAAAGGGAGGCATTCTTCAGAGTTCAATTCAAAGTAGTACATGTGTCTCAACAACTCAGTGTTTGGGGAAAACACTATTTTTCACCCTTTTGGATGGACAGCTTATGTTTTATTGACATGGTAGTAAGTGTTTTGCCAGCAGAAGACTAATGGGAGCGCAGGCAGCAATGCCAGCCACAGCCACACATGATTGGCATTTGCTAGCACAGCAATCTTGGTGGGTCAAATCACCCAGCACATATTCCCAGAAAATGTGGTGATTAACCCACTGGCAAGGTTACAACCATAAAAGGGGTCTGGGCAGATAGAGTGACAGAAAAGTGTTTACCCTTACAGGATTACAACACCGAGCAATAAAAAAGCACCCATAAATCAGTCCTCCAAAACCTCAGAAGCACAGAACTGGGCCAACTCCCGGTCTACAGGGAGGTTTGCGTCTGCCCTTCCTCAATAGCCGCGAGCCTCCCTTCCAGAGTGCCCCAAGCCAATCTGGAAATCCAAGGAGCCTTGGAAATCAGGAGACTCCACCAAACCCAAGTAAAAAACGCCAAGGACGCTGTAAGCCATTTTGGTTCATCTTGGGTAGCTCTCTGGGCTCTGCCTTGACCTTCCAAAATGCACGTTCCCAGAAGAACTGCAAGATCAGCAGATGGTCAAAAGAATCTGCTTCTGAAACCGATGATCAAGAATCTCAGCTTGCATTTGTCATTCTGGAAGAAAACCATATTTAGAAGACCAATGCTCTAACACTATGTTTCCTCTACCAACTGGAGATCAGACTGGACATCAACATTTGAGCGAGCTGCCTGTAACATACAACTCTCAGCCATAACGTCGACATAAACAGAATTTACTTCCATACAAACGCAGAATCAGTGTCACTTGCCTATCTTACAACAATTCTTAGGATTAATGCAAGTGGACAGTTGTTTGTTCTCTACGGCTATTAACTTGATATTAACTCAATAACTTGTCCTTTGGCTTCCTTCTCTTCCTGGGTCCTCTGTTCTCACTTTAACTCCCATCCCAGTTTGAGATCTCACTTACAAACAACAGTAACAAAGGACCTGATTCCAGTCCTCTTGATACAAACCATCCACATAAACAGGGCCAGCACTGGATGTAAATTAATTAATCAGGAGAACTGCTTGGCAAGGCTTCCTGTCTAGCACCTTTCACCTATATTATTGGAACTGGTTTCCTTTTTACCAGTTTTCTCCTTACATTGCTAAGCTGTCAGGGCTTTCCCACTGGCACTGGATTTCAACATGCAAGGTAGACTTGACTTAAGAGTCTTGTGAGCCTATGTGTTCCATATTAGCAGTTATTAAGTCAGAACCAACTTACAGTGCCCCTTATAGTGCTATCAAGAGAAGTGTTAGATATTTAAGGAGTGGTTTTACCAGATGCACCACCTCAGTGAGGATTCGAACCCAGGTCTCCCGAGTCCTAGTCCATCACTCTATCCACTAAACCACAATGGGTAACTCTGTGAGTATGTTACTTGGTCTGCATTTGAGCTATGTATTTTAGCACAAGGCCACATTGCTGCATCTCAGACTTTCCTATCTAAAAATTAGTAACAGTACAGGAGATTATCTTGCAGTGATTTTTAATTCCGCTTCTGTGTGGCCAAGCCAGAACAGACCAAGGGGGGAAGAAGCTGTAGACCACCAAGTTCTCTTGGGTTCCCAACTCCCATCAGCCCCAGCAAGCAGTGTCAGTGGTCAGGAACAATGGGAGCTGTAGTCCCACATCTAGAGGACCTGAGTTTCCGCAAGCTGAGAATTATAATTGTAAGCCATCTTCATGCGCAACAACTTCATCACGACTGACTTAACCCACTGGACACACTTCATGCTTAAGATAGAGACATGTATGTAGTGAGATAATATTAGGTTATGAACACGATCAAGCGTCACAAAGCCCATGTTTATAGATTGCCAGGTTGGAACAAAACAGCTCGTTTGTCACAACGTAATGTAGAAAGGTGAGTATTGACAGGTTGGAACAAAACTGCTCGTTTGTCACAACGTAATGTAGAAAGGGAGGGTTACCTGTAAGATCCATTTACCCTCTTCCCTGCAAGACAAACTATTGCTGTGTTCAAGTAGCCTTTCCCAACCTGGTGCCCTTTTGGAGTTCTGGACTGCCAAACCCTGCAATCCTTCACCTCTGGCAAACGTAGCAGGGGCTGACGAGACCTGCAGGCTAAAACCTCTGGATGGCTACATGTGAGAGAGGCTGTCTCTGGGGTTTACACAGCCCGTGGAACTCCCTAGCCACCCTCAGCAGTGTCACCAGAACAGAAGCTCAGAGAGCAGCCCTCTTGTCCCTTGGCACCCTACCTTCTTCAGTTTGTCATTCTCCTCCATGTATTTCCTGGCTGCATCGCTGGCCCCTTCCGCCTGTTTCTTGAAGGCTTCATTCGAGGCCAAGACAGTGGCATGCTGGGAGATGAGAGTGATCAGGCGTCTCAACAGGCTGCAAGGAGAGACACAGAAGCTGGTTACCATGAGGGCTTTCAGACTTGAATTAAACACACCTGGCAAGACACATCAGTAATCGTGTCAAGATGCCTTTTCTTCAGCATCTTTGCCCACAACGAAAAAGAGCCAAAAATTATGCAATGGTCATGAAGATACGGAAGGCTTCTGGGCAGCAGGAAAGAATGAAATCCTTCAACAGAGGTTTAGATTGTCTGTATGGAATAAGTGGGACCCACCCTCGGTATAGTATCCAGAAGGATGGACTGAGGACTGGGCAATCTAGGTTTCCAGTGCTTCACGCTGTCATGAAACGTCCTGGATCACAGTCACATTCTCCCACCCTGACCTACCTCTCAAAGCTGTGATTTAAAATGGAGAAGAGGAGAGCGAGACACTAGGTAGGGACAGGCCCTTTCAGGTTTTTAGGACTCCCACCACAGAATTCATCCAAAACACCCCTGGCAGAATTCTGGGCGGGGGAGCCCTCAAACGGAGGAGGCTTCAGAGCTGCCCTCTTCCAGGGCCGCCTTCTGCTTTGAAAAGTGTGGAAACCACCATGGGGCCTGGCCTTATGGGAGAAAACCCAAGCTATCTGGGATATGTGTATCACTCCCTTTGTGCCAACCGCTTCATTGGCTCCTGTCTACTCTTTGGGCCCAATATAAAGCGTAGGTAGTGACTATTAAGCCCTAGACAGCTTGGGTCCGCCCCTCTTAGGCATGTTTGGTGGGAGCTTTTCTGTGGCTGCTCCCATGGCCTCCATCGGAAGGACTAGGCGGATCCCTTCCCTCTTCGCCCTTCTGGTGACAAGAGGAGACCAGGACCACCCAGTTACCTGCCCAGCTTCAGAAATGTCTTAAGAGGCGATTCCAAAGGAACCAAATGGCTTCTTTTATCTCCCACCAGATTCCGGATCTTGGGGAGTGGGGGGAATTGGACTACCACTTCCAGAATCCCCCAGCCAACATGACCACTGGCTAGAGGATGCTGGGAGTTGTAGTCTGAAGAAGTAACATTTCTAAGCGCCACCCCATCTTTCCCCCCTATTATTATACCACTCCTTCAGTTTTACATACATAACACTTCTGATAAATAAACCCATTATTTCATGCCTTGGCACCACTCAGAGATTATGTTTACAACTGAACAAAGATTGCTTTCAGGGGAGGGGGAAGGCATCCATATAACTGAGACTGGTATCATCTATCCCCCTCTGTCTTCTGAGAGAGCTGATGTTTCCAGCTGCAAGAGATCAAATACCATGTTTTCCCGAAAACAAGACAGGGTCTTATATTAATTTTTGCTCAAAACACCGCATTAGGGCTTATTTTGGGAGGATGTTTTATTTTTTTTCTTCAAGTACAACAATCTACATTTATTCAAATACCATAATTTATTTTACTTATCATTAATTTATTCCTTTTCTCCTTGCCCTTCTTTAAATGTACCTGGTGCCACTTCCTCCGGGGGGTGCCTCCAGAGCTGGCACCACTGCCAGGAGGCGCCACGGAGGTGGCTGGGGTTCCTCCAGTGGCGGTGCCTGGGCTGAGGCTCCCATTGAGTGAGAGGTTGGCAGGCGCTGGGGGGTTTGTTTTGTGGGAAACAGCAGCAGCAGCAGAGGGGGCCGCATTGGTGTGGAGGGTGGCGGGGTCCCAAAGCTTGCGAGCCCAGTGGAAGAGAGGGTGGCAGCGACTTCAACACGGCAGTGGCCTTGCCGGTGGCACCAAAGAGGGAGCCAAACATGAGGAGGATTAAAAGGCTTATGGCAGAAGAAAAAAGGGGAGGGGGAAAATAAAAGCCGGGGGGGGCTGGCTGGCTGGCAGGGACCAGAGTGCCAAAATCATGTCCCTCCTCCAACCTTGTGTTTTGTTAGCTTTGCCTGGACACACGCTGAGGGAGAGGAGCGTCACAAAGCAGAGGCACAAGCCCCAACAGCCATTGGGAACTTAGGAGTGAAGGAGCAAGATCCAGGAGGTGTCCAGCTCCTTCTTCTCTGGCTGCCCAGCCCCTCTGCGAGCGAGTGAGCGAGCAAGGGAAGTGGGAGAGGAGGGGAAGAAGTGTTAAGTCTCCCTTGAGGGCTTGGAGGATCCCAGTGAGTCCCTGGTGGAGGGCCGGGTTTCACTTAACTAGAGCTTATTTTGGGGGTAGGGCTTATATTACAATCGGCATCATGTGCCAATAGACCTGTGCATCACCGCCACGCAACAGGATTTACACAACCCTCTTCCCCAATTGCCTTCTGGATTCCCTCAGGGAAAAGCTGACAGCTCCAGGAGTCCCCAGAAGAGACCTATTGTGACAAGGTAGCAGCAGGACACCGGCAAAGATATCCCTCCTAGAGTCAGCCTGAGGCCAACCCCACAAGAGCCGCCTAGAGTAGTCCTGAGTTGACTAGATAGGCGGGATATAAATAAAATAAATAAATAAATAAATAAAATAAAGATATGTGTATATAATGGCTGAAATCTAAAATAAATAAACCACTCCCTGGCCTGGCCAGGCCTGGAGGCGCTGACCCAGGTGTTGGCCGAAGGAGGCGCCAGGATCAGGGAACGTGGCCCTTAGAGCACCTTTCTCTGAAATCCTTGCAGTCCCAGCTGATGAAGCACAAAAAAATGTTTGCTATGTCTTCCCCAGTGGGAGCGGAGCAGCTAAATCGCAGCCAAGCTAAATTGCAGACAAAAGGCTCTGTAGCTTTCTCTCTGCCCAAACAGCTCCACTCCGGTTTTAGAAAAGCTCTTCTCAAAGAACTTGAGAATGGCTCTTCCCCCCCCCACCCCAATGTCTGTGATGTTGTGGGTTATCATGAGAAGCACAGGTTCTAAAAGTCTCTGGTTTGGGCTACATCAAGATCTAGCAAATTCCCAGCCAGCATGAGAAGCATCTCCCAAGCTGTTCTAGATAAAAGCAGCCACCATCCTTGCAGCCAGGGGAAATATAGAATGAAGAAACAGTGCCCTCAAGGGCTGTTCTCAAAACAAGAGGAGAACATCCTACAGTAGTGTTAACTGTAAGCCCCACCCCAAAAATAGCATCTCCCCCCCCAAAAAAAAAATTCATGCCAAAATCTAGCAGTGGTCTAACGTCACTACCCACAACTGGCGAACAGACATAATACACTGGAGAATCCTACCAGGCTCTTCCACCCTCCAAAAAAGGCTAATGCCATAGTCTTCACTCAAGCCAAATTTTTGTCCTGAGTTTGCTGCTGAAAATCCAACACAGTTCAGTGTTGGATTTTCATGCTGACTGTTGACTAAGGCAGGGCTTGGTCTACAGAACTTTGGCACTGGCTCCCACGTTAATGAACCACACCTTGCCTCTTCAGGGAGAGAGACCCGCAGTTCATGGAAGCTATGGCCGAACCATCTTCCCCCCACCCCCAGCTACACCATCTTGCAGATGTCCTTCTCATCTCTGGCACCAAGCATGGGCTGCTAGCTCCCTTCACCAGCTGTTCCCTCCAGCCAAGAGCAGCTGCTCATTAAACCAAAAAAGCTGGACAGGCAGCCCCCAGGGAGTGGAGGGCTCAGTCCTGGTGCTGGCTCCCAGGGCCAGATGGGGGGGGGGGAGAGACACAGTTCCCCAGCTCAGCTGGATTGTGGACAGCAGAATGGGTAGCCAACAGGATCCCTCCCCCTCTCAGGAAGAAAGGGAAGCACTTTTCCTTATTGGTCCCATCACTCAAAACCACCCTTTACGCTGTCAAATTTCAGTAGTATCCACAGCAACTAACATGTAGAGGGGGGGGGTTACAGCAACAGAGCCCTCCCCCAGCGGTTTTGGTAGTCGCTGCTATTACCCTGGTTGAGGCTCAACAGATCAGGTAGCATTTGATGATGCTGAAAAAAACAGCACAGCTCGGGGGGGGGGTCAGGGAAGACCCAGAGCCCACTTGCCCCTTGTGGGAAGGGAAGGAGACCCTCCACCCTAAACACGAACACACTCTTCTACTGCAGAGAACCATGACCGTTTGCTGCCGGATATCTGCAGCTACGAGGTTATTTGTACAAGAATTTAACGTAGCTCCACAGCTCCCCGACGTGTTCGGGAAGATACAAAGGCAGAGCACAACTCACCTGGAATCTCCGTGCTCAGCAACCACAGGCACCGGCCGGTATGACTGTTGGCCAGGCCAAGCATTCTGCACATGCTCCTGAGGTGTCACTTTTCCATTGCAAAGGGCAGCCCCCTGGCCTTGAAGAAAGTGACCTCTGCTCATCCCTCTTCCCATGGGAATTAGGGAGTGAACCTCTTTCAGAGCTCGTAAATTTCAGCTTGTTTAGACTAGATGAACAGAATTCCTGAGGCAGCATGGCTGCTGCCAATGGGTGCTTGGGGAATTATGGAAACTGTAGTCCAAATAATGTAACTGACCAAATTGGCTAGAGAATTCTGGGAGTTGTAGTTTATATTTTCCCCCTCCCTTTCCACAAAGGAGAAAAGATGCAGCTAGTCTGCCACCTTGTGGCCACATGTAGCATAGCTTCCCAATCCAGTCTGCCCCTGCAGCCACCTCATTCAGAGTTTTTGTATTTTCAAAAATGGAGACTCAAACTTTTCTGCCTCTCTGCCCCCAGCATTCCTAAAGGTCCCTCCAAGAGGAAGGCAAAGCCAGCAGATCATTTGTTATAGCCAAGGTGAGTTGCACACACAGATCCCATTTCTCAGACTCCTGAACGGTGAAACTGCCAATTTTGCCACAGAAATTCAACCGCAAGAAAAGGGCCGCTATCCCTTGAAGTACAACATTCTGCCTCTGAGCAAAGTACAAGAAGACCCCCATTTCTGGGAGTGTTCTGGACATGCAGATATAGCTGCAAGCACGAGGCACAGAAAGCGCAGGTCCTGATGAGAAACGAAAAAAATGGTCAGCTGTGGGTGGCTTTTGCTACAGCAGCGCCAGAAAAGTGTCAACAGTGGACTTGTTATCTCAGGGATAGGGAAGTGCCTTCTGAGGACAAAGGAGACGGCATAAGAGCAACACTCGAGGTTTTCCCCTCCTTGTAACTGCAGCCTTTTTCCAGATGGTACCACTTTTTATTCCTCTTCCTGAAGGTTTTGGCTTAAATAGTTTACTGCAGTTCCTCATCTTCCTGGCTATAATTCTGCATACTCATTCCATACTAAAATATATGTGTGCGTACACACACTTCTAGATATATATTCTGAATGAGCTGATCTAATCAGGGATATTGTTATTAGAATCTAATTATCTAATCATAAAAATTAAAAGAAGGAAAAAAAAAGAACTGGGGTCACGTATAGCTCACGGACCGCATTGCTCGCTCCTGTGCTAGGGCCTCCTTTGAGCATCTGCAGCTTCTTCCTTCTCCGCTGAAACTCAAGATCAAGCCCCTTGCGGACATCTTGACAGCATCACACCAGGATCCCCAACCCCCAACTTGCTTCCAAACATGCCTTTTCTAATTGCTTGCCTTCTGAAGCGCACTAGAGATCACTAAAGTCTGCACATCTTTTTTAGCTGTTCTGTCTTGTCTCAGTGGCTTTCCTACGAAGCTACCAGAGTGAACAGGTTCAGAAGGTGAGCCACCTCATCTGTTGATCTTTAAGGCAAGGCTTTTGGTGCAACAAGAGTTTCCTTGCACTATACGCTTTTAGTTAAACAGAACACCACACATACAGCCTGAAGACAATTCCAAACAGAGCAAACAAAACCTATCAAGGAGAAGCTGCAGCTCTCATCATGCTAGTAACCACAGCAGCCAGAAAAGGAAGAAAAAATGAGACTAAAAAATACAGCAATTGTTTTTAAAAGTTCTGCCTTTGGGGAAAGGTTTCTATATTACTTGGCTGGCACAGAGCCTGTTGCAGAGATCCAGAAGCATGTTCTATAACATATACTCAGTTCGTGCATTCCTTTGCCAGATCCACTGCACCTCATCTTCCCATGATGTGAGCCAAATTAATGACCTAGACGAATGGTTCGCAACCTTGGGCCCCCAGATGTTCTTGGATGAAAATTCCCAGAAGCCTTCATCACTACCTGTGTTGGCCAGGATTTCTGGGAGCTGTAGTTCAAGAACATCTGGAGACTCAAAGTTGGGATGTGCTGAATTAGGTCATGCCTGAGAGTCCTCCGGTGGCTTCGAAACGTGGGTTTGAGCAGAGACTCACACTACATTGAAAACTAAAGCTGCACCTTAAAAAATGATAGCCGATCCTTACGGCTGCAAAGATATGGTTGGAATCATATAGGTAATATGGCTGGTATAGTCTCAGGAGTGGGAAAGGTTGCTGAATAAGACTCACAACAACTGGAAAAACATCACAACCTTACACAGTTGCTTGTCACTTCCCCAAGATGAATAGAGAACATTTGGCAAACATGTTCTGTCAGCACAGTCTATGTGTTTAAGAGAATTAAATTTCCCTTTCCAATTACAATTTTATTGATTTATGATATATCCATCAAATGAACTTTTCCAGGGCAGTACAAACAGAGGTTGCCATTTCTCAGCAAAAAGTTGGGTCAGACTGGGCATGCAAAGTAGCTAAACTGCTGCTTAAGATTTAACATTGAGCTTTTTCTGTCTCTGCAGGCATTACACAGATTAAACAGAACCATAGATGGCATTATGGGATCATGCTCAAGCTTAATCAGAATAGAGGATGGAAAACCAGAATTTGGGGGAACTGCAGTCCAAAATATCTAGAAACCCAAAGCATCCCTACCTTATAGACTTTAATACTGCTCCCAACCAGAGAGAGCTCCTTCCTTGGAGGGCCAGACACTCCCTGGAAAAATCTCCTGTGCTATCTGCCAAAGCATATCAAAGGCCCCTTAAGCAAACGCTTTGTCCAGTTTCCGCAACTGATGGGCTGGCTGCAAATGAGGATGCCTACAGTACGATGCAGTTGGAAGACATGAGGTGGTTCTTTGGCCTTAGTATAGCAAGGCTTTCGGTGGATGATGCAAACTGGCTGGAACTGACACTAGGAAATGCAGTGATGCCCCGCTTGACAATGACACCACTTGACGACAAAATAGCTGTACAATGACTTTTTTGTGATCGCTAAACAATGTTTCTATGGGGTTTTTTCGCTTTACATCGAACTGATTCGGGAACTGATTTTTCGCTTGACGACGAGTTTTTTGCTTTATGTCGATTTGGTCCCTGCTTCGGGAACTGATTTTTCGCTTGACGACGATTTTCCCGGCTTTGTAAAATGGCTTCCCTTCGCAAAATGGACACCTTCCCTTTGCAAAATGGGTGTTTTCCGGACAGAAGCTTCACATTACAGCGAATTAGAACAGCTGATCGTCGGTTTTCTATGGGCAATCTTCACAAAACGAGCAGGTGTCGGTTCTCTATGGGCAATCTTCGCAAAGCGAGCAGGTATTTCCCCCATTGGAACGCATTAACCGGTTTTCAATAGGTTTTTTACTTTCGCATGATGACGATTTCGCTTTACAGCAATTTTAACGGAACAGATTATCGTCATCATGTGGGGCACCACTGTGTTTTCCCCAAGGCACATGTCCCATACATCCCCTCTATCTCCACCTGGTACCAGCTCCCCCTTCCCCGTCCCTGCCAGTACTCACAAGGCCATCAATAAGGAGAAGCCAGCAATATAGAGGTTCCTCTGAGCTCGGAAAAGCTTCATATGAAAATGTTCCACAGCCCCAGGGTTGTTCTGGAGGTTCACTTTCTCCGTCACATCGTCGTACTTCCGGATCTCACGAATGGCATCTACAAGAGAGAGAGAAGCAGTAAACGCTCAGCATATCCTGAACTGGTCCGAAAAGCCCAGTTTCAATTTCAGAAGGTCAAACCCATTTCTGAAGATCTGGTCCCCAATCCCGCCCTTTGGTATGAAGCTGGGCTTTAGTGGCTTTTTTAAAAAAAAACTCCTGTGTAGCAAGAACGGCCATCAATCAGCCGCACCACAATAGCAACAAGGAGAACAAACAGATGCCAAATGTTAAGGCCGCCAAAACCCTCAAAGCAGTTGTTCAAGAACGTTTCGGCACGACATCTCTTTTTTTTTTTCATGTTCTAAGAAATCTTCATGTGTCCCTACCTCTCCATTTCTAGCATCCCATCCCCTTTTCACAAATACCAACAACAACCAATTTGCAATTTAAAATTAAAAATAAACAGCAAGTTACAGTACTTTAAAATACAAAGGGCACGAAGAATTTTTCTTGAGACTGCCTTAAAAAAACAACGTAGTGACAATATCTAGCTAATACATTTCTGCTGTTCTAAAAACTATCCTACATTTTCTTGGGGTTTCTGTACCTACCTCAAGGGGTGTCCTCCTCCAGTTCGGGACACAACACAACTGCACTGCAAACAAGCGTCCCAAAAGCATCACACACTACAACTGAACACCAGGCACCCCTGATGCCTAAGCCATTGCCCCAACGTGGCCAAATAATCACTCCTTTCTCTTTACGGGCTTGACCTAAAGAAAGAAGCCCTCTTGGTTCCAATGGATGGAACACCTGCGTTCTTTTATTCCTGCCCTCCTGAAGTTTTCCAACCTACCTTGCCGCCAAGCAAACAACAGTCACTAAGCCATAGGAATGTAGGAAAAGGCGTAACAGCCTATCCACTCTAAAACACATCAACCATGAATGGGGCAGGCCCCTCTACCTAATCAGCTAGAGGGACACAACCAGGGAAAAGGCATTCTCTGCAGTTTCCGGGACATCAGACTTCGAAGCTGTAAATAGTTGCAGCCAACCTGTTTTCTGTGTACTATGGAATGGCTGGCCCTTCAAGAGGTTTTGAGGACGGAACCACCTCTCCAGCTCCCATAAACCCTCCCCAGTGCCTAGGGCTGATAGAACAGGTAGGGCAGAAACACAGAGACGGCCACCGCTCCCAACCCTGGGCCTCCACGCAAAGGAGGAAGTACGAGAGATGAGGGCAATCGCTGTCTGACCGATTATTTCCAGCGCTGTACGCAAGGGAAAGTGAGGCAGACTGATGACCCAGACCAACTCCAAGAACCGCCTGCTCCTCTTAGAAGACCTGGAGAGTCAGCCTAGGTCAGGGCAGCTGCAAAAACGGACTGCACTGGTGGTGAGCAAAGGAAACGGATATATGGAAATCCTTCTGCGAGACAGAGCCTCTTGTCCACGCAAACTGACCAAATCAGGACATGTGAAGCCTGTTCAGCTGATGGGAAATGAGGAGGCTTTCTAGCCACAATGTGCTTCGCCACCTTCTTCAGTTCCTGCCACAGCTGGCCGAAGGAGGCAGCACCACACAAGCAATCTGTCCCTAGTCCAGGTTGTAGCAACAACGCGGCTCCTATCGGGAGCTTGCCTCTAGCACCTCACTGTACAAGCTTTGCCAGCTTCTTTAAAGGTCCAATAATTAGTGGTGCTGGAGACTCTAATCTTTAAAGCCTTTGGTGGCCTAGATCCAGGAGGCTTAGAGCGCTTTTTCTCCCAGACTCACCACTGAGCTCACGAGCTAAGATTGGCACAGGAAACATCCCCTCAGGGGTCATGCCTCTTGGAGGCCAGGCCGGCTGCCATTACAAATAGGCCATTTTCACTGGCTGTGCCCAAGTCCAAGATCTTCCCCCCCCCCCCCGAAAGAAATCCATCCAGTTCACTCAGCTGACATTTAAAGGACGGGCAGACGGCTTTCGACCTTTAGGAGAATTAAGCCCATGAAAATCAGTTTTAGACATTAAATGAGGCTATTTCCTCAGTCATTTTTCATGGTTGCACGCAATTTCAGAAGAACATTTTACTTGATTATTATGTAACACCTCCAGTCCTAGACCAGCGACGACGAACCTTTTTGAGCCCCAGTGCCCGAACTGCAACACAAGACCAACCACGACCATCCGAAAGAGTCCCACTGGAGCCCCACAACCTCCAGCGCCTGCCTGAGACACTCTCCGCTCTGCCTCCGGCCGCAATCCTTAAAGGTGCAGGTGGCAGGAACCAGGTCTTTCCATACCTGGTGTCCGGGGGTGGAGGCATGGCATCCGCCGTCTTGGCTCTCCCTCCCTTCCCAAGACTTCGTCCCGAAATCCGGGATTATCTGGGTAAGTATTTCTCAATGGAGATTTATGGCTCGAGTGCCCACAGAGAAGGCTCCGCGTGCCAGCTGTGACACACGTGCCGTAGGTTCGCCATCCCTGCCCTAGACTGCTGTGTGGGCTTGTGAAGGCTAGGCTGAAGGAGCGCCCACGCTGGGAGTAATAAGGCGGTATGGTATTTGAGTTGTGGCCCCAGACGCAAACAGCGTGTCTGAGGTCCAAAAGGCACCCTAAGGGCCAGAAAAGCTTGACTACCCGGCGCTGAATTAGCCATGGTAACTATTATCCATGTATCAAGCCAAAACAAAATAAAAAATTAAGATGAAAACAAACGTCACAGGAACTTAAAAAGTAACTGCTATATTTCAATGTGAGCTGTCACGGACAAGTCCACTTACTCAGGCATCTTACATTGATACATGCCTTTCTGCTCTTAGGATGGTGCATAAGGAGGCGCATAGTAATAGAAACAATAAAAAATAGAGTCAACCATAAAAATCTTTAAAACCAAATAAAACAAGACCATAATAGTGGTAATATCAATAAGTCTGTAAACACAATAAGTTAGACATTATTAAAATCCCATTACAAAAGATGCATCTTTGCACCCTTCCTAATGGAAGCAAGAGTGGAAACACGACACAGCTCTGAGAGGAGCACATATCGCACCGTCTGGAAGACAACCCAGGAAAGCCCTTTCCTCACGTGGGTGCAGTGGACATTCTCAAAAGGATCTCTTCTAAAGATCTTAACATCTGGATGGGTTCATAATGAGACAGGCGGTTCTTTTGAGAGTGAGGCCTCAAGTCATTCAGGGATTTCAAGGTTAAAACCAGCCCCTTGAATTGGGCCTGGTAAGCTGCTGGCAAACGATTCTGATCTTTCAATATCAAGGTCATAGGACCTCAATATCATGAACAAGTAGTGGTCCACATGCTGAGCATTGCAGCAAACAAAGCATCCAGTGCCCCTTCAAAGACAGGGACAGAGCCCACAGCAGGAGGCAAGCCGTGATGTTAATAGAGGCCCAGATTACTGTTGCTAAATCTGGTCAATTCAGGGAAGCTGGAACTGGCGTTAGAGCAGAGCTGTGCAAAGGGACCCTTGGCCACCACTGCCAGACAAGACTCTAGGAACAGGAGAGAATCAAGGGGCACCATTAGGCCACGGACTTTACCCACCCCACGGGGACAGGAGGCAGAGGGCAGCAGGTGCAGCTTTGGAAGCCCAGGAAGCAGAAAGCCGTCCCGGTGCCGGCTTCCCGGGCATCCAAACCCC